CCTGTCAATTTTACTGTGTTATTTTAGGCATCTCATAAAACGTTATCACTGTGTGATCAACTGATAATATGCTTTCAGTTGACAGTGATTGATGTGACATTTTGACTCATTGGCCTACCTGCTATTATCAGATAGAAGGGAAGACAAGTTCAATGTTTCTGTTCATATAAATTATGCACAGTGTTCTTGAAATGAAATGTGTTGTAATCAGCAATCACCTTGACCTGCTTAATCATTAACAAGGCAGTAGTTGCTTTTGGCATATTGCTTCTTTGTGCATAATAATTGGATATCCAACAGGGTTCAATCTAATAGATGTGTCTCTATGTATGTTATAATATGTTTCAATATCACTCAAGTGTTTATCTAACAGAGACATGGTTGCCTTTTGACATTCATTTGTGGGGTTAAGCTCATTCCTTATAACAGCGTTTTTTTTCTGTTCAAGCGTTTTTCTATTCAATTATTCATGAGGTATGTGATATTAAAACCGTTTCATTCCTTGATGTATCATCAGACATTTCCCGTGTGTTTATATTAATATTAACATGCTCGGTTTTGTGAGCTGTGTGGGTGGTTCGATTGACAATTATGAAAAAAAATATATGCTAATCTGTTTGAATGGAAATCAACGTCTGTTAGTTTCAATTCATGCTTTGTATGTGGTTGTACAAATGTATTTGCCAAGCTGGACATAATTTGTACATTTCAATGTATTTTTTTATTCACTTGTGCATTTGTGACAGATGGGCTTGATATTTTATTACCGGTACTCTCCGCACAGTGTTGTCATTTTGTAGTTTAAAATGGTCATGGTTTTCTAGAGGACAAAACTTGCAGGGAGGTTACTATGATTCCCCTCCCATTACTCCTTTTGTCTGCTCTGATATTCCCCACAAAAATTGTGCCTATTTTAATGTATTTTTTTAATTTTGTTGATGATTTTAGGCCAACATAGACATAAATTCCTTTTTTAAATTTTCTTTGAAGATGAACAACCAATGACTTTGCCACTCATAGGGTTGATCATTCCAACCATAATATTTTGCAATTTTCAATGACTGGTGGAATTAATGATAATTTATCTCACAAAATTAATTTAAAAGTTGATTACAATAAATATTTAGCTTTTAAATATTTTAAAATTTGCTGGTTTCTGAGGGAGATTCTTTGGATGAAATAAAATCTCTTCCACAAAGTATTACTTGACAAGTGTCAGCTTTTATAACAGCACAAAAGATGTTACACTACCAGTAATACTTTGTATTAGACTATATACATTGCTCACTGTGCGCTTTACAACCAGGTTCCCTAATACGTGGCTGTCAATCACCATTGAAGGCAGGAAGAAATAGTTTATTGGTTTACGTGTAATGGTTGCTAATGGCGTAGGTTTCAAGTGTCAGTCAATCATGTGTAGTAGACATTTATTTCCTAAATATCTCCATTATCTGCATTATTGTTGATGAAATCAGGGTTTAATTGCATTGAAGTTATAATTTTTTGATAATATTGGTTTTGTGCCTCTAATATGCTTCATGTGTGATACCTAAAGTCGCACACATCCTGTGTCTTTCTTGGGTTGTTGGCATTAAATATATACATTGTATCACCGAAAACAATAGAATTTACTATTATACATCTTTTGTGAATGTGGTGATAACCTCACAATATTACACCTTAAATTTTGTTTAAGGTTTAAAGTTTCACTGCATGTTATCTGACAAATTAATAATCAGTTCTCTTTTGGAGTAATCCCCCCCCCCTCGTTCTTTGTGAATACTCTCTATGGGTTTTTGCAATGCAGCGTATCACTAGTGCTGAAGAAAATCAATGTGTGACACCCCCACAACTTAATGATCCGTGCCAGAAAGCTTTCACTATGTCTATGTGTGTTACTGTTCACACATGAATGATATTACATATAGGTTTAATATCCTGTCTCTGACTGTATGTATGACATGCAACCATATAAATCATTTCTTGTAATCACATCCTGCTTTTACTTTTCAGACAAGCTGCTAGCTATTCCAGCTAAAACTCTTCTTGTATTGTCAATTTTACTTCCAGTCTTTACTGATGATGTAGTTGTGCACACACTGGGTGGGTGATGAGACCTCATTCCGCTGATAACAGTGCATTTATACATACTATAGTATTTGTATTCTACTATTTTTACATTGCTATACCCAGAGATCTGAAAAATGATTATCTATTTTGAGAAAACGGCCTCGCCCACTATAGAAATATTTTGAGTTGTTGCCTCCAGGCAGGACTGACCTCTTCCTTTTTAATTTTTTTTTTTGTGTCACTGTTGTCTCTCCCAACTTTTTTTTTTATGTGCAAATTGCAAGTGCTAGTGACGACACATAGTGTGTGCCACAAAAGTCATATTCATGTTTGGGACTACATGACCTCTTCCTTACCAGTAAACAAATTGGGTCCATTTGATCTGATATTTTTCTTCACTGACTTTGTTAACTCAGACAAAGATGTTTCACCTGCAAGAGCATTAAAGTACATTTGTATCCTATCTAAATAAGTACTCAAACCATGTTTTCTACATTTGTTTTCCTGTTCTTTGTTCATCCCTATGCAGCAAACCTATACAGATGTTACCTGATAGCCACGAGTGGCAAGACCTCCCTTTCCTATTTTCAAATACTTTATTTTGTGTTTTTTCTTTGAAATCTATCTAAGGCATCCTTACCAGTTGTACATAACAATTAGTTACAACATCATTTTTTAATCATGTTATATTTTAATTTAACCTCAATGACTTTTTTTTTCTAATTCTTAACGACATTTCATCAGTCTTATAATCTGTTGTAAAATAGGGCAGCTCAGCTATTTATCATACGGTACATCCCGTCTGCGTAACACTATGCACCCTTGCATCAAGGCAATAATTTCCCGTATCATGCCTGGCCCAGTGTACCGGGCTTTCATCATTCAAAACAAAACGCCTCATATGATAAAACTTTTATGAACTGGTTTTGGCTTTTGCTGCCCTTGGTCATATGACTTACGTGCCCTTGCAAGCTGACCTCAGACTGCAAAAGCCGTATCCAGTTCATAAAGAATAAAATCAGCCTGTGAACTGGAATGGCATGTATGCCTATATACTAGAGTTTGTTAAACTTGGAAAAATGACACATATATTTAGAAGTGTCTGAAATGGTTCATTCTCTTTGTTTTGTGTACTAATTCATATCTGTCATCATAGACTGCATAGAAAATATAAAAATAAACTAAAATGGGGTCAGAACTGTCAGTTTGATTTTTACCTGTACCGCTCATATTCACTTCTTGGGATATATATGCATACATTTGTTTTTAAGGTTGGATTAAAAATGGCTGACTGGTCGTCATTTAATGCTTGCTTTAATAATTACTATTCCATAGTCACACTTCTGACATAAGTGGTGTTCTCACTTATGTATGTAAATGTGTCGAAATGGGCGTAGTGCGAGTGGTTAGTGCTAGTAGCACTAATCCGAAAAAGTACTAGATCCTAAGGGCTCCTAAAAAATATTATTGCAGAGAAAGTGTCTAGACATATATAATATGGTCGCGTTAAAAAATCAAAAAAATCGGCGAGGTTACATCATATTCCGTTAGTTCCTCCATGATATAATGTAACAACAGGATTGCGTGAATGTGTATATGCTTCTTCACAGGATGCAGTACACACAAAATCCATTCTCAATTTTCCCACTGTAGCACATTTCCAATGAATGAAAGATACAACAATTTTACGTAAATATTAATTTATTTTCAGAGAATTACGGGATATCTTGACGTCGTTGACAACGCGATATCAACGCCACTCGCACTATGTGCATTTCAGCACTAGATCTAGTGCCGTTTTAGCACTAGATCTAGTGCCATTTTAGCACTAGATCTAGTAGTTTTTTGGATTAGTGCTACTAGCACTAACCACTCGCACTATGTCCATTTCGACACGTTTACATACCTCTCTCACTATACGATAGAAGCCGTTGTCACAACGCTTTTTATTTGAGAACGTTGTTAAAAGGTGTGTGTGAACATAATGCGCTGTTGTGGCGCCGGTGTTTTTGACACCGTCCTAAAAGGGGTGGACCAGATCCTAAACGCCGTTGTCAAACCGGCTCTTGCACAATTGAATGTGTAGTGTGAACACAATACGACGGCCAAGCGCCCTCTATTGCCGACTTTTTTTGACATTACTTGCTTGACATTACACAAGATGGCATCAGAGGTCACAAGTCGAATGTGATGAAGAAACTAGATTACTGATATCTGTTTGGAGAGAATCCTATTTCTTCTCACCAGTTATTTCTGCGTTTTCGAGTCCAAATCGCTCGGGTTGCTGGGTCTATTGTTGCGTTATTCATACACGCGAATAGCATGAACATGAACCGATCATTTTTCGGTCTTGTTTTTTAGACGTGTGAGAACGTAGCTATACCTTGACTGAGCCCGTTCAAACATTTTAAACTTACATATGCTTTATTTGATGATCCTGTTCCAAGAGGCGGCCATTTTAAATGCATCAAAATTTCTGCCATTTTGGAATTGAATCTTCGTTGCGAATGAACAGATTTCATTCAAACTTCGTACATAAATTGAACATAATTTGGGACCCATTTTGCTTTTTAAATCATATTAAAAAATAATCGACAGGCAGACATTTTTATTATTGAATGTTGTTCCAAAGCTATATCTTTGACATGCCTTGACTGATTGCAATCATACTTTATATATCACACATGTTCATTAATTTTGTCTACTATATCGTACAATAGGATAATGCAGAAATAATAAAATATAGTTTGAATATGGCTTAAAATTGCCATATACAATACATAATACTAAAATATGTGCCATTGTGATGGGCTCAATCCTCATTACTGTTGGAGTGTGGGTGTGTGGTCAATGTATGTATTCGGTCTCCTTTACTTAAATGGAACGCATAAAAACCCATACTCATGCAAATGTTATCATCTTATTTTCAGAGTTTTGAAGTCCTTGGAGACAAAGTTGCTATTGGTGATTCCAAGACTGTTCCTTTAGAGTTTTGTGTTGATAAGCAGCTAAACTTTGTGAAAGAAGGAGAGATACGACCATATGAGGTAAGTCATCAAGACTATAGTTGCGTTCACGCACAGCTCCTTAGCACAAGCTAAGAGGTCAAATTCCTTAGCCCGTGCTAAGAAAACATGCGTGAACGCTTAGCACGGGCTAAGGAATGCTAAGTACGGGTTAAATCTGATCCGAATTTAAGACACGGTCTAGACCCTTAGCACGGGCTAACGAAGTATGCATGAACGCTTAGCCCAGGGCTAAGCGCCCTCTGCGGCGACCTTTGGGTGTGAAAATTGTCCCATGTTCGGAAAACTACTCTATTCCACCAGTCATTACTCACGCTCGCTTCAACACTGATCGGGTCGCTGTAGTAGAGCGTACAGCAGCTCCAATTGTAGACAAAATAAATTTGGTTCGCTGTCTACGACATGCATTAATAAAACTCTGTATTCTGTTATGCCCGTTGCATACTGTTTCTGTGCATCCAAATAAGTTGGGTCTGTCTTCTCTCACGTTCCTGTGCACGACGCTTCAAAATTAGAACGAAACATGCCAGCAGCAGAAATAGAACCTCGCGCGTGTCATCTATTTTTCCTTTGTAAATAGTGGCTTACCAAAGGTCACTGACTAATGGCACCCCTTAGCCCGTGCTAACAACTGGCCCTCCCCGTGTGTGGACGCATATGGGTCTAGCCGAAATGCAAATATGCTAGATAAGCCTAAATCAGCTTAAATCTTAGCCCGTACTTCGTGTAACGTGAACACAGCTTATAGTGGCGTTCACATTAGAGATCTTGGCACATGCCTGGACTTGGGAGCAAGTCGGCATGTGCCTCAACATGTGTGAGAATGGTTGGGACTGAAACTAAGCATGTGCAGAAATTTGCTACCTGAACATTCAACATAAACTGAAATCGTGACCTCGGTGGTGAGTTTAAGAGAACATATACTGATTCATACTCGTATGATGGAGGGAAGTGAAGCTGGATATGGTTGGATGCTGTAGGAATAAATGAAATGAATGTAAACGGTCGTCAATGACGCATATTTATGTCATTCTGCAACTGTTTTTTTGTCATGAAAAAATAATTGTTTTTTGAATCTTCTTTGTCGTTCATGTACATGACTCGTAATAAATAACATAACAGCAAAAGTGGATATAATTTCAATATAGTAATTATTATTGTCATCATGAACGTATTGTCTACCATGTTTTGGTCACTAACAGATCATCGAATGAGGGCGTGATTTTAGCACAAGTAGAGTGGGTCACGATATGGGTCCCGACTAACATGAACGTGAATGCTTTAATTCAGTGTGTGCCAATATCCCAAAATATTTCTTTTAGAGTTTTGTGTACAACCATAAAGCCAAGTCAAAACTCCACATACAGTGTTTACATGTGTAATAAAACTATGGATTTGACTCAGTTAATTTTAACCCATGTATGAACAGATTAACCTGGGCCCTGGGCTAGTTTAGCTCAGAGTCAGAGGACTGGTCTCGTACCTGAGATGAGGCATGTGTAAACAAGATATTTAGGTTAAAACAACACCCTCTTACAGTGTCTCAATGGTAGATGAAATTGGTATGAACGCCTAGCCTAATATAAACCACAGTGCCTATGGATATAACACAGGTTCATCCTACTGATAAGTCCTACCGATAAGGAATATTTACAGAGCCATCTAGCCCTCTGTTTGTCAGTTCGTGTGAACAAGGCTACAGTGAACTTTAACTATGCATCTGGTATTTGCACTTATGACTCTTGGCTTGTCATGCACACCCACATTTGATCAGCAGATATTTGTTTACCTTGTGGTAGCTAATTCTGAAGTGTTATCAGATGGCATTATGTTCTTATCACCTATTAAAACCTACAGTACATTCAAAGGGGAACTCAGCTTGTGCCGAAAAAGGGGTCAATCTTTAAGCTGGCAAAAAAATGAGATGAGACCGTAACTGGACCCACTTTGTTTGAGCCACAATTACATCCTCAGTTAACATCCTTTTCATAATTATCTCAATATTTTGTGTCACAAACTGCTAGTTTTTTCAATTTGTTGAAACATGTGTTAGTCTTCAATTTTAGTGAATAAAGGTACATGTACAACAATGTTGAGATTTGAAGAAATAATACCCCCTGTTTACTAGACCATAACTAATACTAGCAAATCACAAAATATAGGATGTTCTCAGATAACTCGCCATAAAGAATTGCTAAATTGAAAACTAGGTACATGGAGTAGCATATTGCAAGAAAAATGTGTATTCAAAAATATTTTGTTTGTTACCGCAGCCTGTAGTTAAATGCATAAGCAAGCACAGCACTATGTGATGGTAATCGATCAAACATCATGAATACACTACAGCTAAGATTTACCGTATATGCTATTTGCCTATATTTCTAACTGATCTGAGCTGCGGACATAGAAACAGACCCAAACAAGTCAATTCTTGGCTTGTGCCAGAGCGTTCAGACGAACTTTTCAGTACGTGCTAAGTACATTTGTCTGAATGCAATATATACCAAGCTATGGTCCAATGCATGTAAGCATTCTGCCGACATCTGTTACAATACATGTTATTCCTGACCTCATTTGCTGTCGCCATCGACTATTATGTTCATGTCAACAAAAAAATGTTGAAATATAAAGGCAATTGGGCTTGTCATTTGAGAGTTTACTATTTCTGAGTTTGGATCTGATGAGAAAATTTGAAAAACAGTACAGGTCAGGAAACTGGTGATTTTAAACATTTAGGCTTTGAACAAATTTGTTGCGTTAACTAAAGCATAGTTTAATCAGCATGAAACATGTAAATATTGAAGGGTAATATCAGGGAAATTCTTTGCTTACATTCCATTATTGTATTACAATGTAATTACATAATACCCTAGGTACAGGATGTAATGTAATCTTTCCCCTTTCTAAATGGTCTCTTTTTTTAATGGGTCCTGTTTATCTTTTTATTTTATTAATAAATGTCATTATGGTACTTCCTGTTTGGATTCATGCAACTTGTACCGGTAACAAACTTGGTTGTTCAGTCAAAATGTCAATTTTAGTTTGCCATGTGCCAATTGGGGGGGGGGGGGTATAACATCTCTAGGAAAAAAAATAAAACATTTTTACAATTAACAAATACAAATATATATTCACACACAAAAAAATGCACATTTTATTGCAATATTATTCACCTAGCATCAGAATTTACTATGTCTATTGGAAAACAGTCAGATGTTCATCAGTAGCTTGGTAGTTGAATGCTTTCAATTGTATCCAAACTCTCAATGAAAGGCAATTTCCACCATGATGTGATCTACAGCAATGTCCTCGTACCTGACAAGTCAAGTTAGTTATTAACACAATAATTACTGATGTTGAAATGGGATTTGCATGTGCTATATAAAAAGTACATCTTCAAATAGAAGTGCAGATAAAACAAAACAAAAACGCATTTATTGTATAGTGAATTATGAAATTCAAAATATTACTTATATAGTTAATATAGACATACCTGTCTTTTGATGTAAGATGATGTTCTAATATTATATCAAATACTGTATTTACTGTCCTGTACTATCCATGGTTAGACTTAGGCTGATTACATGATCAGTTGGGTAAGTGTTTGCATATCACATACCAGTGAAAGAGAGTAGATATTCTAATCTGCAGGAGAAAATTGATCAGCTCTATTCTGTAGATTAGGGGGGTTGCCTTGAATGTCATACAGCTGGAATCATTCTAACAGATGATTCTGATCATTGATTGATAGATTGTTCTAACCTCACTGATAGATTGGCTGAGTTCATTGTAATGGGCAATGTATCACAAACACCCCATGCATTGTGAGATGGTTCACATGATGTAGTACTTATTATTCATTGATATGTCAAGGTCACTGTGCACTCCACAAGATGTCGGATAGTCAGCCTAAGTATTCCAAAAAGTTCCGCAAGACATTTGCCTTTAATTAAAAAAAAGATTCCCTAATTCGATGTATATATATATATATATATTAGAAGCCACCTATTATTTTCAGCATGAGGTACAGTTATAAACAGTGATCTACTCTTCAGTGTTAGTGATCTACTCTTCAGTGTTCAGGCCCTGGCTGATTAATATAGTTGAGTCATTTAATAATTGATGACAGCAGTTTAATAATAGGTCAATATCTTACAATTGATATGTTTTGCCTGAGACAATTCTTAGTCTGCTAAATTAATAATAAATATTTATAATAATAATGATGGTATCTTTATTGCATCTCTAGAAAGACTTTTGTGTCAACGGTTTTTGAAAAACAAAAAAACAAAATGTTCATTCAATTTTTTCCTTTGCCACATGACAACAATGCAATTGTTATTTTTTTTTAACTGAGATGCAATTTGCAATCAACAAAATAAATACATGTAGATTAACTTCTTTATCTGTTGGCTGGTTTGAAATTCTGTTTACAAATACAATGCACTCAGTGTAGATAGAGTTCACTGTGTCATTCACCTGCCTCTTATAGCTGGCTAATAGTCTAAAGATTTTATTAGCATATGAATAGAGCTTTCATATGACCTTCCTGACGTTAAGTAGCTCTTTCAATATACTGCTGCCCGCCCACATCACACTCAGTGTCCAACTCGCTCCATTTGCCACTGATGGGAAGGAGAGTATTTTTGTGGTTTTGTAACCTTCTGTGCCTTGGTTTTCAGCCCATCAAGAGTGTTCCATTTATAACTGGTAGGTTGATTCTCTTTTGAGATTTGTTTTGCTTTTTAGAAGACATTCCCTTGGGTGTATGCAGTTGTTTGGGTGTGTGATCAATATGCATGCAGCAGCCATGTGCTTACAATGGCGTTTCGATTGTAATGTAGGCACATGGAGGGACAAGGTCTGCGATGGCTATCTGTGTTAAATTGTTCTGTTATCATCTTTAAGATATATAGGGTCTCTTTCTGAAATAAATTATCACATCTGTCATAACTTTCTGTAGTTCTGCTGGCTTTAGATGAGTATCCATGTCAAATTTTATAAGTTTATTCTTTAACGTT